ATATATATCTGCTGTCCTTTATTTAGCTTAATCTACACCATCTTACTTAGACATCATTTCCCCATTGTCTTCTGAGCGACTGAGATATCCTTTTGCTGTTCATTGAGCAATCTAGTTTACATTGCTAAATATGGGTGCTCAGAGATATAGGCTTCAGAGCACGTGTGTAAAAAGAACGATTTATAACGATATTATAAAAAATTATATTATCTCATTTTTTGCTGTCGCTATGGGTCCGTTTATTTGTCCTTCTGCCACTCTACTTAGGTGCATATTCCCTTGGTGAAGATAATCAACCGTTTAGGCTATTCTACGTCTCTGATCCTGTTACTTGCGGCCTTCCTTGTTTTTTCTAGTTGTCGGTAAGTAAATTTCCTTCTTCATCGGATCCGTAGGTATCCATATGGTGATAGATATTGCAAGATAAATATGGTACAAAGGTAGCTGTAAATTAGCTAAAAACAAATCGTCAGTGCAAATCCATGTTGGCCTAAACCTGAGGCAAGGCAACTAAGGCCATGAATTGTATGTACAGACACATCATGGCTAATATACCAGCTGGATGGAGAATGATTTTACAATTGAACAAGTTAAAATTTACTTATGTAGCATCTTTGGTTCGGACGATGAAAGAGTTATAATCGAAACGGACAGTTAACTGATAGAAGCTGTTTTCATTACGGTGAAATCTTTAACTGACAAACAGTGGCTTCAAATGTTATTTTACAGGTATTACAATATATAGTAATGAATACCGGCATCCAGACTGGCAGCTACGTAGCTAATTTCTATAGAGAGCTTGACTGGGCGAAAAAGATCCTATTAAATATAGTACATATGTAGTCCGTAAAATGCCGGAGCTATATCAAACATATTGATGTCTCCATGAGATCGTCATTGAAATCAAGTCTAAACATAAGCAATATGTGTAATAATAACAATAGTCATAACATATATATGCTTGCCACGTCACGAGCTGTAGTCAATGAACCGCTGTAGGATTAAGTAAAATTATGTCCTTTCAGGCCCCCTTTGCGTAGTTGACTAAGCAGATTCACTCGGTACACATTTGTTGACTTCTACGAACGTACATCTTTGCTTTTTGCTACTAGAAATATTTCGTTGGCACATTGCCATAAAATTTACCTGCTCTAGATCTATACGGCGGATACGATGCTGTCTTTCTCTACTACTAATATAATATACACGAATAATAATAGTACTGATATAATATTTCGAGGGGCTGTCTAGGGGGACGCGGCTCTACCACACTACTGAGTACGTATATTGTATGCTTCAAAGTCTGATTTAAATTCGAATGCAAACAAAGAAATTATTCAGGGAGGCAGTACGGTCTTAAAGGGCCCCATTGGGCTGCGGCACATGTGTGATGATAATGACTAGAAAAACAATGGTCGACGAATACAGATTGTTACTAATATAATATTGGCACTTAAACTATTATCAATTCCCGACGGAACCGAACCTCCTGAAGTACCTAGTCATCGAAGATGGTCAAGTTCTTAATCTGTTTCCGCTCGTACAGTTGGTAAACGGTTTTAGGTTTGTAATTCGTGGTCGTTGCCTTCAATCCTTCGGAGTTCATTATGTACTATGGTAGAGTGACGACAAATAAAAAGTTCGATGTCGTTAAGTACAACAACAGTCACTGTAGTTTTTTGGAGCCAGCTGGCTCAAACAATATATAACCCCACTATTGATAAAAATAATACATCTACTGAAATGATAGCGTATCCGTTTAATACAGGTCCCCTTCCCATTTATGCTGACCTGTTACTGGGTGGAGCTAAACGAATGCATGTCGCACTTATCTTTCCTAGCCTATTATTACTATGTCTAGCGAATTTTAAGGGTTCGTTACTAGCTAGAACTCGATGGGACGTATCAGCAAAAGGCACGCCTCTAATTGTCTTTCGTAGACACATGCCAGTTTCATTCATTTCAGTCAAACAGGTCACTAGGCGTAAAGGCACAGAAGGAAGAAGCTAAATTCACTTTCTTTAAAGGGGTCAGCTTGTTGTCATCGCAGACCTCCATAGAACTGTATTCTATGTATGAGTTACAAATAGATAAGTTATATAATATTAATATCGATTCTGGTTTCGTAGCATGCTCAGCATAACTTTACTGTATCTGCGGTAGGTACATCTGAATTTACAGATGGCGTACGTTATTTTGCAGGTTTAGGGTATACTATTAAAAGCTCTTTTTTAACGTTTACTCCCTCGTGGCTGATCAGTCTAAAGTGCGTCTTGCAATAATCGCCAAAAATAAACAGACGCTAAACCTTCATGTGCGCTTAGGATGGAAAGAAAGGTTCACGGTTGAAAAAAAAGTGAGTCTTACACCTTTTCTGCCTGTGACCTCACAGCAATCCACTTTGCGAACGATGAGCTTACCTGGTTTCTATATGTCCTCTTCTAGTATATTAAACATAGCGTTAGGGAGCATGCTCCACATAGAATATCAGCGACCCTTCAATGGGAAAATCGTTATCGGAGAACAAAGGGGGAAGAATAAAAGATTTTCGGTACATAGGACTAAAAAAACTGAATCATTTATTGAAGTTTTCATCTTTTGGTAGATCGAAGAATGAAACAGCATATTTTGATTCAAGGTAATATTGCTATAGAGTTGATTCGTCAGAAAAGCAAAGTTTCCAAGTGTAAACGAACCCCGTACGCGCTTTGCCTGGCTCTTATCTAAAATTGATAGTAAATCTTGTAAGCAAATCTTTCTATCAGTTCTACCTTTCGAACCTGGAGCAAGAAAATGCTAAACAAGCTTAACGCATAACAGGTTTTATCCGGTGACCACTCATACGCCTTATTCCCCTTCACCGATACTGGCACGTAATATTTTATCTAAGTGGAAAGCTGTCCTATGAAAGCGTCTAGGAACCAACTAACGTAGGTACTCAAGATATCGCTGTTATTTAATTGATTATCGTGTGAAATATTTAACCCGAAAGATCGATCTGGGATTAATTCAGAATGGCAGGATTCGCGCGGAACCTTCTTCATTATGCGACCCAATCGGTAATGATGAAACCGCTTAGGATGAAAACTATGCCTTGAATCATTGTTTCCTTCGCAGTGCTGTGTTGCATGACTTAAAATTTCTACTAAGCTGCGTAAAAAGCATTGGCCTCTTTAGCTATGTCATGGAGTCTTCGAAGAAATTAGACAAAAGCTGTGATAAAAGTTCTCGAAAAATGTAGATACGATAAGAATCATAGTAAAATGATAATAGCGCTTAGTTGTAATAAATTGATAATTAAATTATATCGAAATTACTGTAGGATAGAGATTTCAATAGTACAACAGCATTGTGTCAATGATTTACCTCGTAATTTCTCGCAATGATTGCTTTCAGACGACTACGATCTGCGCGAAATCAGCTGCATTGCCAGCTGTTCGCGTCGTATGTGCTTCGGGCGAGCGTCATTCTCACTAAAGACCTTCTTTTTGTGGACGGAGTGGGTTTTCGAAGGGACCTAGAATCCAACCAAAGAGTAAATGCATCTTGCATGCTTCGCCTATGGAAAATGTTACCATCTATAGGTATATGTGATCTGGTTAAGTTTCCAATTAGTCTTGTCGCACCCGTTCACCACAACGATTACTTCTGCAGTTGAAGTTGGTACAAGCCCTGGCTTGCTTTAATAAAAAAAAATCTAAGCTAAAGAAATATATATACATTACGCGCGTTTATATAAAATGTGTTTCATGTACAAAGAGAGCAACCCGCATAAAGTTAAAGAACGCGAACATATTCAGTCCATCTTGATTTTACTCCCGTACGTAGAGCTAATAGTTGTTGGTTCCATTGAATGTACAATACGCCTCGAAGAATCAAAATGAGATGGCAAAAACTGTTTTCAATCATTCCAGAGAGGTAATTCCATTTTTTATTTGAGTTCAATGCATAGGCTGGTTAGCCTGTTTAGGTGTGCTCTAAAGGTATGTTGAGAGACGGAATGCAGTATATAATCTGGCGACAGTCCAGAAAATAAATTGGCATATATGTTTTATATAACAATGTTTAGGCGATAATGCCTAATTTTCTGTATTCCGAGCTCCTTCTAGGAATAGAAGCCACAGTAAACTGTATTAAATTAGTGAGTACAAGAAGACAATCAAGTTCTAGTATAGCCCTAGAGCGCTGTTTGGAATATTACATTTCAATGATACAACAGCTGCTGGAAACGAAACTGCCGAAAGCCATTGAACTAAAACTTAACTCATGCTTTTCTTCGCACTCTATGAGAGCTTAGCCTTGCGCGACAGAACCGCGTTGTAGAAATACAACTTATTTGACCTATGACGCAAAGGTGGCTCATAAAAGCAGCTCTTGAAGGCAGAAACACTATTGTGTTTTGCCCAGTGTTAAACTCGCTCTAGCGTCCACACTCGTCCCGTGCGCCCTCATTAAGTACGTTCGTCCTATTCACGGACAATAGAGTAATGTCTCAAAACTACCGTATTCACAAGGTAGTCTTTTCATTTGTAGAGGAAAGATGGACAAACAACCGGGCAAGGAAAGAGAAGACCGCAAGTTCTTCCTTGTAGTACGACATAGAGAAAACATCAAATCTATTATCGGAAGCTTCATTGCTTCCCAGATTAATCCAATCCACTCTGCCTTCAGGAACATTTAAACAAGACATATTAACTACCGTGAGCTGATAGAACAAAGACACACATTTACAATATGAAATCAAGGAGCGATTGTAATTTTTTCGCTGCAAAAAATTAATTAAAACTAAAGCCGACAGCCTCCTGCGATTCGTTGTGAGTCCTCTGCACAATGGCAATGAACGTACGCTGTTGTAGCGCGATATTTTACTTAACTGATAGAACTGCACGAAGCATATATTTTGGCATAAAGATTGATGGTTTGCTTGTGTAAAAACAAGAATTTATCTTCACTAGGGAAATGTGACGACGAGTCTCGCAAAATGAAAACCCCTTTAGGCAGGAAGTATTAATTTGGACACCAGTAACTGTAGCAGACACTTCGGACGCATCGTCGATCCGTCCGGAACTGTGTGTCCGGACATTGTGCTACATCGATCAAATCTTAGGTCTCGCGCTGAATAAGAATAACAGATATGATAGAAACGATAATCTTAGTCACACCAAGCATTTGGATGACACATTAAGGTCAGAATCATGTTGAATTGATAGCTACAAGGCTAGTGTAATAAAGTTGACTTTATACTAGCTAGCTAGCTAGCTAGCCAGCTAGTTCGCCTAATTTCAATGAAAACTATATCTTTTTCGTTTTGTTATTAAAATGCCACCTGGTAGATGGGTCCTCTTAGCTAAAAAAATCACGTTGATAGCCAGGCTCATAGCGACAGTCTACACAAAACGTTTACGTCGAGCATTGACGGCTTCTATTTTTCTGGAACGTACAAACTACTGCTTAGTTCTGCATGTACACTATCTGAATAGCCTAGAATATAGTTTTACTATTTAAGAGTTAACCTAGCGCTTTTATCGATGATATTGTTGCTTTCATATGGAATATTCTCGATCGTTGTCGTGGTGAAAAATTGACAGTGTCCGTGGTGTAAGGCGTTTATGTGCCTCTTTCATTACTCCATACTTGCCAACTACGCGTGGATGTTCGTCGAGGGCCTTTACCTTCACGGACTCGTCTACCGTGCACTGCATTCGTCACAACACAAAGCATCCTTCGGAACGCAGGCTACGCTTGCGACCTGGAGTACGTATTCTTTAGCCAAAGTCACACTGCCAACCAAATACATGGGAATTTACCCAACACAGCAAAGAAGGGCAACGGAAAAAAGGTTTTTTTTTCAACACGTTGTTTCTTTTAAATGTACAGATGTCCAAGTGCCTGTCACGAAAAATGCTCTTACTTCAGGCGCGTCACTCAAGTCTTTGCTCACGTGTGTAACTCTGTGACACGTCTATGATTTAACAGCTCGGACAGAGCGCCACAGATACAATGTAATTTTAGAGAAATGTCTTTGACGTCAGACAAAATATTTTGATCCGAATTTCGCTTTTGTCTGTGGATATTGCATTTCTTTATACTATATGCTCTTCTATGACAGCTGGTTAACTATAGAATTTGTAACTAATTGCAGTTGGTCCGCTATGGATCATCATCCCATGGGCAATTCTTCGATCAAAACTCGACAATCGGTTGTGAGTATTAAAGATTGGAACTTAAAAGACTAGGCTGGTAAAATGTTACAACTTATAATATATTGCACAACTTTTTCATGCACCTTAACTACGTCTATACATAATCATAGAGATTAAGTATAGCGCGACATTTGTAGATATACGAAATGTGTTTCATGTTTTTGCCACTAACGTTTAGTGCTTTTTAGTACGAGTAAAAGCGGAATATTGGCCACTTCAACGATAGTAAAACTAATAGAATAACTACAAATTAACAGTGGGAAAAACAACGAGCACGCTAGTTATCAAAGAGTCTTGAATGGTCTACAAAGCTTTGAATATCGCTCTAAGGTAAAGTATACTATGGCGACGGACCTGCAGTCCCCTTGGCTTAGCTGAACAAAATAGGTTTGTAGGTTGTGTATTCTAGTGGACGGTAGGATCTTATCGAAGCGAATCGCCTACAGAGGAAAATGAAAGTACAGTGAAACATAGCATATATATTTATCGCTTAGTGTGTTATTGTTAATCATTCTCATACTACTAGCTTAGTCTTCACTATAAACTGGTGCTTGAAATCGAAGAGTATATTGCCCACTTCAGGGAAAGAAGCACACAGAAAAATGTAGTCAGTGGTAAGGATTGCCCACGCAATGACGAGCCCAGCTCCTCGGGGTGTTTTGATTAGATTTCTGGATACCCTGCCAACACACATCCTCTATTAGAATCCTTAGGTGTTAGTGTGCATGTGTGTAATTTACACAATGCTGTATAACAGTACAAATTCCATCTAGCATGCTCCCAGAGAAGGTCTCTAGCGATTTCCTAGTCTTATCCTGGACAGTTTAACGACTTGTCAGGTCGGCTGCTGCTTCGGCAAGACTAGCCGGTTATGGAGTCTGCTATTATCTGCGCTTGGTTTAATGATTACTGGTTGTTCTCTTTTTCTTGCCTATCCACCGTATATCGGCGCCAGACGTCGCTCGGCGTGTTTCTTCATGGTAGGCCAACTACCTAAATTTGTAGTTGTGTCCGTCCCGTGGACTCGAACACGACAGGCGCTAGACTTTGCTTACATGAGCGGCGCAGGATCAATCCATTGGCCATGTATTGACATGAGTCCAACATGCCAAGCAAAGACAGCAGTTTCCATTTTCAACATTTTCTCCATTGTTGACTTTGTAGAGGTATACGAGAGGCAAATGGACGTTGAACCTTACGCACGGGACAGCCAGGAAGCTCGATCAAAAGTGTAAGTCGCACCTCTACTATGAATCGGAAAGATTTCCGCGATCCCCATTGATTCGGATCTGATTGACAAAAAAAGATATCAAATTGTAAGGTACCAATAGCCATTCGGACTTCCTTCGGATCTATCATTCGAAGGGCGCCTATCGCGTTATAGGTTCTAGTAGATGTACTTCTTTCAAGCTGGCAGTGTCATTGTCTTACTTGCCGTTTAAGACAGAGAAGATGCTTCAGTATGCGATGCGCATATGAACGCTGAATCTGACGTGAAAATGGTTGTGCGTTGCTTTATTTGTCACGAACACGATAAGTTCTCGTAGATAAAGTGCAGCACGAGTGAGCAGGAAGGCTTATTTTGATGATGGTCGTATCCCCTAACTGCGGAACGGTGCAACTGACTGAATGCAGTTTATTTATTGTTACATATCTAAAACGAGCATCTCGATGTCACGCATTTTGCCCGCTTGTCTCTGCATCAATCCCAAATTTCCTAGAACTTCATCTGAGATGCTCATTGAAACAGGCGGAGGCGGGCGAATAACGTATTTCTGGCAATCTTCTGTGTCATCCCGTCTGATTATTTCATGTGTAGTATTTCCCTTTAGATTTCTGTGTAGAAACGATATTTTCGTATGTAAAACGTAGTTGTCCAAAAGCACCCAGGCTGCAAGATTATCGCGGTCTTTCGAATTTAGCTAACAGACTCCCCACAACTTTCCCCGTATTGGTCGTAGTCTTGCATCATCAGACGTGTTTTAAAACGTTCGAGCTAGCCTTTTGAATCAGTTTTTATATTGAATACTCATCGACCTCTAACTAGCTGACAAGCCTCGTTAGGTCTGCCAAACATTGTCTTTTTAATGACTGTAATTCTACTTCCATTGTTCATTGCTACTTATTTGGGTATTTACAAGCCAAAATCCCATGTTTCGAATTTCTGGTCAGACCGCTGCCTCCCAGCACGAAACCTATTTCATAGACCTATCAAGCTTTCATTTCAACGCTCCCTTTGCTTTGCGATGTTGATTTACCCATTTTCTGAACTGGCAACTTAGGTTATTTACTTCTATTCTCGATCATGTTTGATCGATATGTTATTTCTACACCCTTTAGCGGCGAGCTCTCTCTGTTCGACATCGTATCGCTTTGGCTTGATCGGGCTTGAAAAATCTCTTCAGTCCTCCTCGTACGGTTTTGTCCCTTTTTCCAAGCATTCTTTTTTTATCTAATGGGTTTCTATAAGCTAGATTGTTTATTATTGTTAGACATTCGGCTATGGCAGAAACGGATGGTTCAGTATTATTCTAGTGACTGTATATCAATGAGAGAAGCTTGGCTTGAAGAGTCTTGCCTCTCTGCTGACTCGAATTTAAAATTCTCTATTTTAACGAAATAGCTTAGTAGAACGTTTGCTACATTTTCCTTCGGTTACCTTGTGAGTATAATTGAAGTATTTTGTGCTGGAAAGACAAATACTATTTTATAGCTTTATCAAAGTGTTTAGATATTATAGTCATGTAAGGAATATAAACAACGTCCGCTTCGGCCCCTTTTTGACAGGTGATTGATCAATGTTCAATTGTTTCATTTGGCTACTAAGCCCTATTGATTGATATAGGTGTCATTGTTTATCAATTGCATTAGTGAACCCTAAACCACCGTCACGTTATAATGCCTTTGTGTTGGACCTAGTCTGATTCTCGAACTGCGTATATATGCGCTTTGCTGTTTCATCTTCCGTCAAGCCTCGAAAGTATTTTAGGTTTCCAGCGGCTGGTTTGAAAGGTATTCAGAAGTCTTTCAGGATCGTAAAATAGTATCGCTCGGCTTGAAGGGTAGGTTGGATATTTATTGTCTATCAATAATGTAGGAAAAAAGAAATGGTATGAATTGTCGCGTCGGTTTCCGTGCGATAAGCTTTTGCACTGAATAACTCTCCTGGATTATCAGTGTTCTTTTCACCTTTTGTTTTAATTCGTAAACCATCCCAGTTTCACGGGAGCGATTTGCCTGACACAAGTTGATGCCTACAGTTACTCCAGCCTCATCGAAAGTAAACACAACTTTTTTGAACCGACAAGGATTCTTAATTATTAACGACCTGAAAAAATATTTGTATGACATACGTTTTGCTATGACAGCATCTATGAATAGACCTGATTTTTATTGAAGTTTTCTGTAATTAAATGCTATACTTCTGACATTTCCACAATATCGGCTCGACGATGGACTAACCTATCCAGAGCTGCTGGGTGAACGCAGTCGGATAAGTGCGCTAGTTTTGTTTCCAGTAGTGAAATGATCAGAGTTTCAATGAGTACCTGCCACGGATTGTAGAGTGATTGATATCATTGTCCGCAATGCCTCGTCCGTCCTCAGCGAAAACACTGATGACGCATGCTGTCCTCTTTGATATGTATTGAAGTAGGTTTGTAGCAATTACTTGGTAAAACAAAGTTCTTGGCCTCTTTCTTTGTGCGATTCGCATTATAAGCAAAAAAGGTCACATTATGAGTGAAGAAGAAGAAGAGGGGAAAAAAAAAGAGAAAAACAAGGAAGCTTCAAGTTATGGAATTAATCGTTCGTGCAGATACCGTCGTATGACTATCCTAATTTACGCTAAGGACGGGTACTTAGAAGGATAGGTTACTCAGTCGATAGAAAGAGCTCTAGGAACAAACCACAGAGCGATGTGGCCGGTAGTAAAGGCTGTCTATTCAGTTATGGGCGTAGTTCGTCGAGCTCATTTATTGGAGCTCATAAAGGGTTATCTACCCTAGTTTACGGCCATATGTCGGTTCCCTGAATTCGAACACAAAGGACACTGGACTTCTTCTACATGACCCATGCAGTGCAGATCCGTATGCCATACACGCCGAGCCCGCCAAAATTTTTTAAGTCAAATATGCTTCTGAATATTTGTTTTGCTTATCGCATAGCTTACTCAGTGAACTCTACCATCGTGTGCAACTCTGTATACTTTATAATATAGGAACGGCTCTAATTGCAGTTTAAACTTGCTCAATAGGAAACTGGTTCTTTTTTCGTTCCATCATCTTTTTGCCAAGATAGCTAGCAGGTTTATCTATATACTTTTGAACGAAGCAATTTTGAACGATAATTTCATATCTGACTGGCTCTCGTTACCTCCTCAATGTGATCTCTAGCAATAAATACAATGTTTTTCTTCCACAGCCTTCCTATATAGTATTCTACATCTATTCAATAAGTTAATGTTGTGACTGTCCTCTCAATGTTTTATCTGTTTATAGCTTTGTATTTCTATTTGGACGTCGTTTGCAGTCTTTTGTGTTAAGTTATATGCGTGACACGCGACTCTATTAACCGTTGCTCCCGCAACGGGAGACTCCGATGCACAAGATGATTTTGGGTATTGAACGCGATACGCAACAATCAAACCCCGGGGGCCTTTGTTGGAATTCCACTTTCCTAAGGAAAATGACGAAGACACCTTCTTGATCTGATACTCCTTTAAATAGGTGGTGGCGCTTCTGAAGTTGCCTATTCTATTGTTACTGCGTAGAGCTGAAGGCGGTTGATGCTAAATAGATTCACCTTAAATAACAATGAATTCTGAATCTATGCCATTATGCGAGAACGAACCTTGCCGAATTCTTAATTCTACAAGCATGAAGGCCACGTGCGCAAACTCTAGTAGATAACAGGGTCTGTTCTATCTTAGCATAAGTAAATGCTCAACAAGTGAGATACAGTCAAGCGAGCCCAAAGCCGTGTATGGTAGAGCTGCTTCACTCTGAAGCCGGGATAATGTATTACCAAGGCCGACCACGTATGCGAATATTTTTGACAAAAACTTTGGCGCGTTATTTGTTGCTATTCTTTCCAAATGAAAGCAGCAAACTCGACATGACGAATAGTTTTCGGTATTTGAACAGAGATCAAATATTATTCAATGCCTCCACGCTGAACGAATCTCGTTTTTTTGCGGAAAAATTGGCGGTATACGTTATTTTTGCACAGTCCTAAAAAATCCGAAGAAGACTTTTACGAGACGAACCAGAGAATCTAAATAGCGTTTAGATTTAAAGAGTTCGAGAATTCATCAAAATAGTGTAAAAAATCATATTCTACATACCTAGGTTTTTACGGTGAAAATTAACAACCATTGATTTTTTTGACATTTTTGGGATCCTCGGCGTCTCTTTTGACGAGTTTACACCTATCAAAATGGCTTGACGCAGGATTGCTGTCAAGAGGTTAGAGAGATAAAAAGGAATATCTTGAAGATGACTGATTAGTGGTTTAGGTCCTGAATCAGAGCTGTAATCGCGGTGGATAGTTCTTACATTGAATGAAAGTGACTGACAAAAATAGCACTCTCAGTACTGCACGAAAAAAATGTTTAAATATATATTTTTATTTAAATGCTTCTTTTAAAATGAGTATACACTTTTTTTTAGTTTATATGGACACTCTGTATTAGGCGCTTATATTAACAAGCAACAGCAAATGCGCCCTCGTCCTTGGCCTTTATCCTGGTTAGAGTGGATGTTCAACAAGGACTGTTCAGCTTAGAGGCCGTGGAAAAGGTCTGTTCCTCGGAGGCCATGATTAGAAATGCGATACACATTATTAATGTCCTATCTGTCCACACGTCCAAACAAAATATAGATTTAAAGAAGAAGAAAAGAACCTAAAGTGCTATTGGTAGTAGCATCCAGCATTTGAGATGATCGTGCGCGAGTAAAAAAGCGGAAGCGTTAATGAAAAAGATACACTTCAACTCATCATAAATGACGATGAATGGTGCAGCCTAAGCAGGCCTTAAATCCAATCTAGGACGTAAAACCGTGTACATGTGTGCATATTGATGCACAAGACTCGTGAGAGGCGGTGGATACGGTCAAAAAGATGCCAGTTCATAATGGAGCTAGAGCAAACAGCTTATATGAGATGTGCAGTTTTTGTGTGTACGTGTGTAATATCAGACACATAATTGAAAGTGTATAGGAAGTACAAGACGGGACATTAAGGGTGCAAACCGTTGGGCAGCTTTCAGTAAACAACGAAGACGTTGTCAGCCAGCTCATATAATTACGGACTGGATTTCAGCAGAAATAACGCTTCAAAGTGCGACAACTTTGAGTCTCCAGAATGATCTCAAGAAGCGCAACTTACCACCACATTATGTCGAGCCGTCCTGAAAATGTAACCTGTGTGAAAGGAACGCCACTTCAGCAGCTGAAACGAAACAATAGTTAGAGATAAAAATGTTATTTTACAGCAAGGATCGCTGTATGATGTCGACAAAGCTTACCGTTTAGCCTCCATAGAATGTCTGATGAAGCACAATACTAGTCGTAAGCCGTGTAAATGCCTCGAATGCCACTTAAGCTTAGTATTTTGATGCTCAGTAAAGACACCGCTGAAGTTGTGAAGCTACTACTATCATTATACGTAGGAAATATAGCATATACCTCCTTTAAAAACTGACTTGAAAGTTCATAAGATCTTCAATTTCAATACATGTTTCTACAGTGTATAGATAACCTGCTTTGCTCGCAAAGGTTGTACAGTATGTGTCGTTGGCGAAGCTTAAAGCCGTGATCCCCCGGTCTCTTTATTAAAGACTTGGCTGCATAGGTCACCGCGTCGACAATATAACCCCAGCTCACATCCATTACCATAAAACCTGTACTTAGATGCTAAAAAAAGTATCCAATAATGATCGTATCAATTGAACAGTGTGAAAGCTTTCTTCTATAGCAGTGATATAGATTTAGCAGTGTGCAAAATCTTTCCCCTTCTAGATGCTGGACAACGAACGAGAGCCTATGGCTTCTATGGCTTCTGCAGGCACCAGTTTGTATTACAATTGTGCTCAACTTCTGTTTATTTGTACGCATCGCTCGAGTGCTTCTAAATCGCGTTGTACGGCCAGAGGTTCAGCCAGCCTCCACTAGCCATCAATACACGTACAGGTAAGCGAGGTTTTATATACTAATATTATTATGTAATTGGTGTGAATTCATCCAGTTTAATAATCAATGCGTAAGCGCCGTGTTTGGACAGTCGAATCGTTAATCGGCCTGCTTCAGGTCATAGGATTGAAACGTTCCTATTCCGAAAAAAAGTAAGACAGGGTTAAAACAGAAAGCTCCTTCTGCGTTTGCCTTCGAACTTAGAACTAACTTTGCCATTTCTTGTTCCGCATACAATTGCTAATAAGTGCATAATAAAAAAAGGCCAAGTTGGCATTTACTTAAGATTTAATTAAGATTTACAATATACTAAACAAATGTTTTTCGTCCAGTTCTTATACCATTCAATACTTCGCTACAAGGCAGGCTACTTAGTTGTGTGTTTGGAGGCACGATATTTCATTATATTTACTATTATGCGTAATAAATTCGTTACGGATAGTTCGAGGAAAAGATGACCACATCATATCGTACGGATCCACCTAGTTTTTTTTTCACGGGATGCGTACTTTCCGCCGCTAAACCTCGGAGCTTTAACATCACGGTTTTACCTCGTTTGTAATTGGCCATAATTTTTATTTAGGGTAGCATATACAGGTAGCTGCCCTCGAAAGCTCTTCTATCCGTATCAAGACGTATGGATAGCCTGAACTTGCCTAGCGACGAACTATTTAACACACAACTCCTGCTGAGCTGTAAGCTTCGACACGTACAACTGCACGTATATAATACATCGTGCACGTGATAATTGTCTTTAGAAGCATTTCAACACCATTCTATTATTAAGTGGCCTTCTTGCAAAGGACAAACAGTTCTATTCTTTGGTTTGGAAGACCTAAGTTGCACGTTCACCTTAGTTCCATCGATCTCTTTGAATCGCTTAAATCAACTCTCTAAGCTAATTACACTGAAAATTAATCTATTTTGAAGGTTTTTATGTTGGCGAGACAACCAGCCGTTCAACCCGTTCCTCCATGCGATAGTCTAAATTGTTTTCAATATTCGTTTGGCACTCATTTCAGCTAATTTTTTTTCGCGAACTAATCAGTTTTTGCATACTTTTCACTATTGTATGATTGAAAAATAGAAGGTGAAAATGGAATATTCCAGGACATCGTTTTGAGTCCCTCGTATACTACTGATTTTTGTAATCAGCGCTCTGAAGTTGCCCTTCTATAAATTAGCTGAATACCGATGATCTATAATGGTCGCACTGCACAGATGCCTAACGCCGGTGCTGGCATAGAACTCGAATCAAATAGTCATAGTTGAATCTCTCTCGGACATCGCGTTAAAGCTGTTTGGTGATCTGCATCATGCGATCGTCTAACTTAGAGGACGTAATTTCATATAGAAGCATATAGTTACACTGATTCTATCATATACGGATGTATTAGGGAGGTGCAAGCGTTGGCGAATGTGGCTAATTTCAAAGTTTAGGGAGATGTTAGTCTTGGTGATGTAGATATAGAATAGCTACGTTTGTCTCGTTCTAGTGTCGTAACACAGTTTACGAAAGAGATTATAAATTCTGACCATTTCGGATCTGTGTTAGTCCAGTCTGCTTCTATTCAGATTGAACGAGCTAGCAATTTAACTGCCTTCAAAAAATCCATTGATAGGTTTGATGAGAACCCAACGATTTTTTTGGTCGACAACGGTGGACAATTTTTGCTATACTTATTAAATGCAAACTTATCGAATTCACAGAAATGAATCTTACGATTCATTATCTTGTTCGAGGAATAATACTTTACATGCCGGTATCGGTGAACGATTGAAATATTTTGTTTGGATATAACACAATACGTGCGTCTCCAAGTTAGCTTTTGCTGTTAGAGATGTGTTTTCCTTGCACAATGAAAGCTTCACTAAATCCCTCAACTTTGACATAGATTTTCATAAATCATTAGACACCCTCAATGACAAATTATGCAGCAGCTTTAAAAGCGGCTGATTCAAGGTAAACGAATGATTCATTTAAATGAACAGAATGTTTCGCCGCAATACACAAGTACCTCACGGTGCACCATCTGATTACAGATACGTTTTTATTTATTTATGTGTGACGCTTTTATCTTATAACCAGTAAACGATGAAAATGTTACCGCTCTTGCTGAGCTATAGCTTTACAATCAACAATATTTTTTTTTAATCTAAATGTGAGAAATCTATATTCAACGGTAAGTTACGTGAGAGTTATCTTGGTACGGGTAGTTGGAGGCGGCGTGAGGTGATTGTTGAAAGTGTGCTGTACCACACGATGGTATTCTATTTTGACTATTTTAATTTCCATTGGCGTAATCCTTCAGCTTCGAAATTTCATGACGGTCCTGATAGAGTCACCTGTTCGTCGTAGAAATGCCGTGCTTACCAGATATTACGAGGGTTCGCCTTGGTAAAACAAATGAAGGTCAAGCTTAACAACAGCTAGGACGGCTTTCCTTGGACTGAAACGTTTATTGGAAATAATCTGTATTTATATACCGCGTATGTAAAGCTATGTTGGGGGCTCTTATCGTCGCCAATTATAATTTTTTTAAAGAAGCTTTTAAAGGGACGTTTTCCCCATGGACATCACTACCCACGATTCTACGCTCCGCCTCTGGTGTCTCAGATATTTAAGCACGCTTTATGATTTTTAACATCGCGGTAAAATTTGTCACGAGTTATGACGAGGCATGCCTCGTATATATATATATATATATATGTACTTGGTAAGGACGCTGTAAAACCGTATGCATCGTCAACAAAAAAGATGATCAAAATTCACTTAGAACACTGCTGGTTACCTATTAATATCAAGTGCCATATTCGAATTGTTTTTGGTAAAGCTCGTTTTTAAGCTGATCTTAGAAAAATCTTGAGGTTGCCGCAACAGAAGATACATGCTTTTGTAAAGAAAATATTAGGCCCCCGAAAAATGAAAGCTAAGCAAGTGCAAAGAAACGTTACGAAATTGACCATTATGGGAGGGACTAGTCTTGCCCCGGACAAGGAACAGACGACCTTTGGAAATTAGTAAGCAATTTTGTGTAGAAATTACGTAGACTTTTTTTGTAACAACATAATACTTTTGCTACATATTTACACGCAATTTGAAGGAGAAAGTAGGAGTAGTCTACTCGTACAGAATCATTCCTATTAGCGGTAGAGAGAAGGGTCAGCGCTGGTAAGTAGTGCTATTTTGAATAGACTGGAACAGTTTGTCTCAAAGAGATGGTCCCTGTATAGTCTAATCATCAGGGACGGCGATGTTTTAACCGTTATTGAGTTAAAATCATCAAATAGCTATCAATATTAAGTAAATTATCTACAATGTTTTGTGTCCTTTTTCTTCTCTGCTTCACAGGGAATGGTTTAGGGCCTCGCTGATTCTTATACCGTTACTGGCATCTCACTACATTGTGTTGTTAGCTATGAATTTACTCGCTAACATTTTGCCTCCCGTTGTGGAAATTGTTTGGTTCTACATCGATGCGTTATTTACGTCATTTCAGGTAAGTTTCATATACAGCCAATTATAACTTTTAATAAAAAAAAAACATTGAAGATTGACGTATGCTGCTATCTCCTGTTGGTTTTAAAAATGCTGAAAATCAGACCAAAACGTCCATCTCATTTTTTTTTTAATCATAATACTAGACCTACGTAATTCAACAGTAGCTAACACCTAGCCTGACTGTTGAATAGTTTAAGATCTATTACAGTTTTTAAAAGGTACAAAAAATCTGCTATTCACCTGTTGCTCAAGTGAAATACGTCGTACTCGTATCAGAAGTCGTACTCGAAGCTCGTCAGAAGTCGTACGTAATTTTATAGGTTATTGCATAAAACGTATTTTAAACATGCAGCGTTGAGCAATAGAATTAACGATTTTTTTTCTACATTTGCATTTAGATTACAATAGTCATGCGCTAACTAGTTTCGATCAGAAAACTCCCCAGTCAGTTCATACCGGGTTCTCCAAAGAGGAACTCTATCCCAGACGATCGCATACTTTAACTATAAAGGTCAGTATCCATGATGGGTCTAACGCTTCAACATGATCGTGCTTAAAGAAACGAAATCATTCTATAGATATGAGAGTCCGAATTTGTGGCAAAAAGCTGATTTATAACGTCAAAATTAAGCTATACCAGATAGGTCATGTTGCATTAGATAGTATTTCTACGATTCAAAGTCTATATGCTGAAAGCAAATCTTCATCATATATATCTTCATAATTAGCAATATGCATAGGTAATTGTAGTAGGACGGCGGAGCTGACGGCTATGTGCAACGACACAATGCAATTGTCTAGACACCAAAATATAATAGATAGCACGCAACTGAGTGCTTTAATCATGCACCGTTTTAGGCAAAAAACTATCTGTATTTGATGGCTACGATCAAAGTACTCTATGTAATACTGCCTACGTCATATCGGAATCCTTGGGAGCTCGACACGTACAAATCTAGCCCCGTAAAAATTAAGCTCTGGAAGCAACCGATAGACGACGCTGAAAAAATTTTCACCGAAAGAAGAGGGCGGCTTATCAAATTTCCTGAAAATCGAAATTACCGAATATTACTTAATTTCATGCGTTCGCCATATACTTCAGTCTGTACACGGACGTGCACAATGCACGACTGCAAGTGCATCTAACTTTGTTCAACTTAAATTAAAGAAGCAACATTAATATCTGTATGGGCATTTAATCGAATTAATTAACCTTGTTATTTTCTCCAACAAAGTTCCTCATATAACTGCCACAAGTCGTGGTACTAAGAGAAAAAGATACCTAACGTGTAATTTTAATCTACTTCGTGTTATGGTGCAAGTATCTTATTGTTATGTCGTTTTGAATAAAAAAATTTGTATGTTTCTCTATATTATTCGAAGGCATTTACTTGTCTGCTTTAAATAACGTCTGCCTAGCTATATTTGTACCGGTCGCACCCCACAGTAGCTCCAGTAAGAAGCGACACTTAACAACGCTACGGCACGATGATATACAAACAAAAAGATGCGTAGTCATGAAATAGATGTCACGGTAAAAAACGCTGGCACATATATTACAAGAACGATGTATACCATCAGAGGACTAGTGATAAAGGACGAGGAATTTTTTGCAGCTGTTAGCCGAAGCTTTTAAAAAGTCCTATAGATAACGCAGGCAGACAGTAGATTGTGGTGTAATGAAGCGTACGTGTGTTTATAGAGATGTTGAAGGTCGGTCATTTGATGGCTAGACGCACTGCTGAGGTTATTTGAGTAATAATTTTATTAAATCTTTGTTCATTAACATGAGCAATACGAGCACACGACAATTTTATGACTTGTCATGCGGCAAGCAACCCATCAGTGGTAAATTATGAATTCATGGAAGCCCAAGACGAACTAAATAAAAGTCTAGGCAAGTCGTTCATTTTGACTAACGCTTATAAACGGTAACGCGTTTTATGAACACGAGACTCGTATATTACATCATACATTACCCTATAGGCTTGCCCTTTTATAATTTTGGCCTCTAGAGCTCACACATCTACCGTCTTCGGCCGCAACTCTCTTTGCTTAGCAATGGGATACTTTAAAAAGAGTCAAAGCCGAGATCCAGACAAATGTTTCGGTTGCATTGCTTTAGGGCCAGAACCTGCTTTACATTGGATGCAATGCGCGACATCGTGGAAAAAACTGTTTTATCGACAGCTGCCGGAAAACATTGATTTGTGTTAGTGGAAGATTACCTAATATTCGTTGTAAGTTATGCAACGATTTTCACCGAAACACGTAGTGAGTGTGGGTAGAGTTGCCACTTATAAATGGCGAGAGTGTAACTTATCTGCCTAGTCATAGCTTTGTGCAAAGCAATGTAACGAACTGTATTTACTACGATCATGTTGAAAGTGTCTTCAAAAGTACGCCATAGCCAAGTTCGTTTTATAAAATCATTTTAAAGTACTTTCTCAGTTTGTGGGTCGATCACGCAGCGGACGTTGAACCTGAGGTCCTGTCACTTGAGGGTCGGGTAGGTAAACGAGGCCTCATTTATTTTGTCTTAGATAAAACGTTTGTACCATGTTTAAGTATTTTCCTACACTGCTTAAAGTAGAACTAATTAAGATAGAAAGCCATAGCTGAACGTAAGTAGTTTCAGATCTGTAGTGACAAACAATACTTTTAGGTGAGGAAGGACGTCCGCGACGTCGAATCAGCTCCTTCATTGTCTCCGCTACCGAAGCAGTATCACCTCCTGACATTAGTATGAAGGACAAACATGTCACATGGGATAAACCCGAAAAACTCGCCATTCGCAAAAAAAATTAAAATTTATATAAGGCAACCTATTCTAGAGAGGCAATGTAGATATTGATTTAAAAAAAAAATGAAGGTTGCAAAATTGCGATGAAAACATCGACCACCGAACTTCGTTGAGATACCCTATTGAAACCCTGGACATCTACAGGTTTTCCAAAAGCCATAAGGATAAGAGATTGATTGCGTTGTCAGTGTGATTAGTCGAGATGCGAGCTTTACTTGGAAGGTAGAAACACTATACATAAACAGTATACTCGGTAAGTTCGAAAATTTTAATATGAAAGATAAAATAGGAGCATTTTGGCAAGATGTTTGTATCGAGTCATCGCCTTCCCGAACATTCTACAGTTTCTAAAGAAACTGCAAATTATTCGTGTCAAAAAGATGAGAAGCATGGCTGCGCCATCGTGCGGTAGAGCGGGAATACTGCTGTGAAAAAAGTCAATCTGCAAGCGCTACTGATGAACTTCAACATTCAGCAATATAAGCTCGCAATCCGAGTTCTAACTGAAGTCCTAGTTTCCAAAACATACATTTTTGAAGAAACAACTTACCAAATCAGACCTGTTAGAGAATGCATAGGGAAAACTAAGAGACGATACAATTATTACCGATATTCGCAGGCGCGTAAATCAAGAAATAATCTAACAGGATCATTGCCATCTGCAGAAGAACAACTTACGGCATCGCGAAAATCTAAATACAATACTTCTCGAATGCAATACATCATAGGTACAAAAAATCACAGTGAACTTGAAAAAAAAAAGTTTACCACAACACCTACAGATATCCCAAACGATGACAAAAAGACACTCCCCATAGACACTCTGGATACTATTTAACGTTCATTTGTAATAGAAGCCGTCCGTCAGATAAAGCTGTCGACTACTAGGCAGCAAAACACCGTGTGATATTATTATAAACAGTGGGCAAAGAAATGTGGATGCAGCACGATTGGAGGCAAAGATCTAGCGGATTATCATACCAAATACTATTTTTAGGTTTAGAACTAGAACGTCTTTTGTAGCAAAAAGAAAGAAAGTATATAAAATTAACGACATACAATGATTATAATTGAAATTAGGCCTTAATCAGTGAGCAAAGCTATAAAATGCCAAAACAATGATGAAAGACATATTACGTATCGAACATACGATAAAACAGCATCTCCATTACCTGAAATTTACAATTTAGCAATAATGTACACATGATGGTAAACAATACGTTTACAACTATCGAACCGACGCCCTTTTCTTTGACATATAGTCAAACGTTTCTTGAAAGATCATTAGGCAACATGCTGAACCCTTATAATTTTTGACATTGTACAAATTTTATTGGCTAGTAACTTGTAATCCTACGTCATAATTTAGCTAATCACACCACTGGCTGTGATAGTTAGGGGGTATTTATCACGATAACGACATAACGTTCGTTAATGAATCGTTCCATTCAACGAACAGCGACTTGCGCTCGGCTATAGGCACACTGAAACCTAGTTAGTGTCCTAGAATCAAGGATTTGCTGGTCTAACAAATGAATATATATTAATTATACTATGATTCAACTTGCTTTTCATTGACAGGGAGCATTTGTAGCTTTTCTGTATTGTCTCGGTAGTCCCGAAGTGCATAGTCACCTGCGACGAAAATTACGCGCTCTTCGTAGCAGCGGTTCGTTCCGGTCATCGAATGTAAAACGTGACAGGCTTCGACCAAATCAAGGTCAACGTCACCATTGGCCAAACGAGCTTGATGCTAACTCACATCCAGGACAAAATTCATCTTCGGCGATCGGCCCTGCGGGGAACGATGCCCCCCACCAGACGCATGAATCGTCTACTGGTCGAATACAGCTCCCATGGTCGGAGCAGCAGTACAAAGCGAAGTAGATTAGAAACATCAATGGCCACAGCAGAGGTAGTCACCAAACGTACTAGATGTTGTATCACCTGTAGAGCTGGCCCTAACCAGATGGTTTAGCTGGATCTACGACTACTGGAGGGTCTTAGTAAATGATAACCATTGCTTAACCGCTAACACAAATTAGTTGTTTCCAATAGAGTATATATTGCTTAAGTCGTTAGTTCGTTCGCCAAACAGATCGAAACAACAATTTAAGAATAGTTTTCATGTGCCTTTATCCTAGTAAGGCAGATGTTCCGCTCATTGAATGGATACTTTCCAGCTCTTTTAGCGATTAGAGGAATATCGCTGTACCGTATCGAAGACCGCTTCTTTATTTATATTCGACGTGGACGAAAACACCTCGCTGATGATGGCCAAAGGCAGCATAAACAATATGAGGTAAATCGCGTACGATCGAGAGAAGGAATCATTCATTGATTCCTTCTCTCGATGAGTTAAGCACGTCCTCGCATAACGAGCATCTAATAACAACTTACATTAATTCTTTAATCATAATTATCAAGCGTAATACTTCATCAACATACATTACTATGGACTACTGTTGCCGTTGCCACTTCTGCAGAAAAGAATTCTGTGAGCGGAGAAATTCGAATGTAATTTAAGGGACATAGCAACAGAAGCATGGATTTTCACAAGGTTGGCCTATTCGCGTTGGCCGAATCACGCCCGTAAAAGCTTTCGACTGGACTCCGCCTCAAATCATGACTACTGTGAAACTTTCAATGGCCACAGACCGAGTTAATTTCACGCTTCTTCAGCAGCTGAGTCACAACGAAGGCTTCTACGATTCCTGTTGTACTATGCCCACCCATAAAATTACCGTCGTAAATTTTTTTTGCGAAAAGCAAAATATCTGTGAAAAAACCCACCATGAGTACGTTTCACTGGTACTGTGTTAGACACGCATTATTATTAGATATTACAGCTTTGAACCAAGCAGGTGTTTTATTAAAAACTCACAGGAGATCCACAAACGGTCAGGAGCTGACTTGGCGAGCAACGAGTAAGCGCCATTTCTAACGTAATGATTGCGCTTCATTTCCTAAAAATTTAAGTTTTCGGAGGTCTTTTACACTTTCGGCCTCTGAGCTTAAAGTATAGAAAACTAAAATATTGCATATACAGATTGTCATACTACTCGTACAGAAAAAAAGGCGTTTAAACATGTTGTCTCACATGTATATAAAGGTATTGTATATGGATCTTGTGTGCATTGCATGTAGATTATGCGACTTGGACAAGAAGATTGTTCGCTAGAGATCTCCATGACGATTAAACTTCTTGGATATTTAGATTAACCATTTTTATCCGTTCCGCGACCAGTACTTCTACAATGTATCTTACAGGTTGTGCACTTTTGCCATAGAATGTGTATATACTAAATTACCTATATAATAAATCTACAAATAATTAAAGAAGATGATAATAAACTATTAAACAATATTCTTTAGATGAAGATGTCTTTTTTAAATACGACTGTAAACGTATACAGGTATTTTTCTACTTAGGGGATAAGCACTTGTAGATCATGTGAATCCCGATAACTTTTAGATGATGACAAATGTTTTAATATCTCTTCCTGGCTTTCCTATGGGCTTATACTCTTCCTTTGTTAGCGACCACTCCACTTGCACAATGCACGTTCAGCACTGTCCTGCAAGATAAACAGGATTTCGTTAATAATTTTCTACGAACACCAAACATGGCCTATGCAGTGTACTTTATCGTCTATGATGGAGAAGGCCATCATGCAAATCAACGTGTCAGTATGGAAACGGTTAAACTTTCGGAAAACGGCACACCCCCGGTCAAGCGAAAATCTGAATGTGAATATTAGGATTTGCTGAAGCAGTGTATGTAGTAGTATCATCTCGTATCTAGTCTACTTAACATAATGGCATACTGTGAAAATCTGAATATTCGAAAGCCCTACACCAAGTAAAAAAACTCGCCCAAAGACCACGGGTGCAAAGATTGAATGCTTACAGAGTCATGAACAGCTGTTCGTTCTCAGTTTGGTATAAATGGACGTTAGGCAAAGATTTTTGCGATTTCCTTGCAAACAGAGTGGCATCATAAATAATTATTGTTAAGCCATGGTAAAGAGGATATCTATTACAGGTAGGCGTATACATCTAGCACTATTACACTGGTTTCGCTAAAGTGAACACTTTGGATTTTTTTGTTGTTTTAATGGAAAAACAAACCTAAAAAATGGGATAGAAAAAATGTATGATCCTTAGACATTTTTAACTAATTTAATGCCTTCCCTACTTTCATGTATCTGATGAAGTCGGACGCGGTCGTATTCTCTCAGATTCCTAGATCTTAAAAATCCTCTTAGGTTCGACATGTTCTCGCTCTATTCAACGATTTCTTTATTAAGAATGCATAGGCAAGTAGGTCAGTAAGAAAGTATTACCTTTGTACCTCAAAACATAAAACAGGATTTGTAAGTTCCTTGAAAAATGTGCCTGTAAGTGTCCTCTGTAGGCTCGGCCACAAAGAAAGCAAATTACTTGAGAGACGTCTATTGACACTCGTCTAGCTAAGGAGAAACTACTTGATTCATCCGACCCTATACGAGTGCAGTCATTAGGATAAAAAAGTATGGAGGTCCTGCATTTACGCTATATGGGACGGACAGCCGTAGCTGTTTATCACCATACGGCGCCACCATCGGCGGGTAGAAACATCTGTCAATACTGATGCTGCTCGCATCTTGTTGAATCCGGTGCACTGTTTAATTGTTATAGTAGTTTACATCAGGGAGCTCCATATTGAATTTTTCCTTCAGCGCTTGCTGTTCTAACCTGTCTTTTTTTTTGACATCATTTTACATGCTACATAGATCAGCTGACGTAACTTCAAATTCACACAAGTGGTTAATCTCTAATTCGTAAAGTGTTCATCTTATTATTACTTACAGTGGAGAAATAGCACGGAATTGATTATAAAATAGTTAAGAACGACGATTCAAGTAGGTGTTTTGCATTAAAATCTGCTCCATTGAACGATACGAAAAGTGTA